AAGATCATGACGGGGTGTACCTGCCCGTCAAGTTCACCAGTCGGAAGTCCAACGAGTTGAACTACAGTATCGCCGAGAAGGAAATCCTGGCGCTGCTACGTGTCCTGAACGAGTGTCACAACATGCTGGCAGGGAGGACGATCCGCGTCCTAACCCGACATACGACTCTCGGGTGGCTCTTCCGCTCTAAATGACTCCAGGGACGACTCTCATAATGGGCTGCAATCCTCTCACCGTGGAGGTTGGAAATTCTCCGATCCGTAACTGGACAGGAAGAAATCCTGGGCACATTGGCCGCGAGCATCACACCGAGAGCCTACGTCGACTCCGCGCTAGAGGAGATGGTTCGAGCTGCCTCGGGGTATGCAAAAGGTCTCACCGTGAACTAGGCTGAATACCGAGGTATGCTGCTCGGCATCCCGCTGTTGGGCGACCTCAACGTTGCGCGACTGATCATCTGCGGGGATTCCAATCTGGTAGTACGTCAGATGCGGGGCGAGATGGACTGCAAGTCGCCCGGCCTAAAGCTGCTGAGACAGCAGGCATGGAACACACTACGATAATGGCCAGAGCTCGAGTTCCTCCACGTCCGGCGAGACTGGAACGCGAGCTCGGACATGTTGGCCGGACAGGCGCTCCAGCACCAACCAGATAAAATACCTATAACGTGGGAGAGCTGGAGGATCTGAGGACCCTGAACCTGCTGGGAGAAATTGTGCGCCCAACGAAGCACGATGCGGAATGCGACGATCACGTCTTGAGAACTGAGCCGTGCGATCCAAACGACCCCGTCTGGGAGGCTGAGTCGCGTGATCTAGATGACGTAGAACGCGGGACGAGACGGGTTTTTCCCGTGATCACATGCTCACGGGACGCGTCGAATCCAACGCCGAGGAAACAACCGGAGATCTTGAAAGAGCTCGAGATTCAACGACTCCGTCTGGATCGAGTCCGTACTGCCAAGAGGAGGAGTCTTGGATTGCCAATATCAAGCAGTTTTTTGACGGGGACATCAGCGAACTATCCAAACGCGAAGCGAAGAATTGCGCGAAGATAGCGGAACAGTACGAAGTTGGGGAGAGCGGTTTGCTGTACTACCACGTACGTGGGAGCGAGGCCGCAGAAAATCGGGATATGATCATGAAACTTGTAATTCCAGAGACCCTCCGAGAAGACGTATTGCACCACTACCACGCAAGTCTGGATGGCGGGCATCAGGGCATCGGTACGACGTATCAACGGGTACGACAACATTTCCATTGGCCGGGGTTGTTCAAGAGCGTACAACGCCACGTCGGAGAATGCGTCGAGTGTGAAACGGGGAAAGGCCGTCCCACGATCCGAGGAGAGTCACCAGGCAACATAGTGGCGACGTACCCGTTCTAAGTCGTGGCGATGGACCATATCCCGTCACTACCTGCGTCGCACAAAGACAATACGGAACCCTTGATCTGGGTCGAACGGCTCAAACCGTCGCGGAATCCTATGAAGAAGCCGTCTTCAGACGATTCGGTGCCAGCGAAGCGATCCGTCACGACCGCGAGCCCGGTTTCATGTCAGACTTCTTCAGGGTCTTTAACAAGCTGATGGGCCAGCGGCAACGCGCGACGCTCGCGTACCGTCCGCAAGCAAACGGGGCGGCAGAACGCATGGTGCAGACTATCACGAGGGCTATCAAGATGTACATTGCCGACGTTGACCAACGCAACTGGGACCAATACGCAGAGCGACTGACATACGCGCTTAATACGGCTCGCGACCGAACGCGGGACGAAACCCTGTTTTTCCTCGTGCACGACTGGGATCCGCGGTCTACGTTGGAAGCGACGTTGGCCGTAGGTAACACTTCACATCGAGATTCAGAGGCTCGACGGTGG